CCTTTTAGAGTTTCTGTAGCCAGTCTTTAAATAGAGCAGTTTAGCATTTGGGAGAAAAACAAACTGTGCACTATCCAAGAATATAATTGAAAATTACCCTATACCCATGCACAATAATTACCTTTCAAAACATTTCCCATTGCTTGATACCATACTGGTAATTGCTTAACAATATGATAATTTCATTACACAGAGATTACAATGGCAAAATGATATAAGTTGGAGGCTTTGAAAATTAAGTTATAATGAAAACAAAACCTTTTATGCAAGTTTAAAACACTTACTTCAGAATAAAAGTATACATAATATCATGCAATTTTTGTATGAATGTCATTGTTGGTAGAGTTTTAAGGTTCACCCATTTAAAGCTTTTGTTGGCTTAAAACTCAACATTCAGAAAACTAAGATCATGGCATCTAGTCCCATCACTTCATTGCAAATGATGGGGAAACAGTGGAAACAGTGAGACACTTTATTTTGGGGGGCTCCAAAATCACTGCAGATGGCAACTGCAGCCATGAAATTTAAAGATGCTTGCTCCTTGGAAAAGAAGCTATGACCAGCCTAGACGGCATATTAAAAAGCAGAGACATTACTTTGCCAACAAAAGTCCATCTAGTCAAACCTATGGTTTTTCCAGTAGTCATGTATGGACGTGAGAGTTGGACCATAAAGAAAGCTAAGCGCCAAAGAATTGATGCTTTTCAGCTGTGGTTAGAAGACTTGTGAGAGTCCTTTGGACTGCAAGGAAATCCAGCCAGCCCATCCTAAAGGAAATCAGTCCTGAATATTCATTGGAACGACTGATGCTGAAGCTGAAACTCTAATACTTTGGCCACCTGATGCAAAGAGCTGACTGATTTGAAAAGACCCTGATGCTGGGAAAGATTGAAGGCGAGAGGAGAAGGGGATGACAGAGGATGAGATGGTTGGATGGCATCACCGACCCAATGGACATGAGTTTGAGTAAACTCCAGAGTTGGTGATGGACAGGGAAGCCTGGCATGCTGCAGTCCATGGAGTCCCAAAGAGTCGGATATGACTAAGTGACTGAACTGAAAGCTTTTGAACTAAAAACCACAAAACCCCTCTTAGACCCATGGTTATAATGCATGAAATGCCAGTTCTATAGTGATATGTATTGGAACAAATGCATTTATATAGCAGTTACTGCTTCAGTTTGTATGCATTATGTAGCCAAATCTCTACTAATGAATTGGATCCACCTTGATCCCTTTGCAATTGGGTGATAAAGACCCATGGCCCATTACGACGGTTATTTTCATCTTGAAAGATTCCTGACTAACTGTAAAATGTTTTGAGTTTTCTAATTTGATAACACCAGCTTAAAATTTTATCTTTTTGGAAACTGCAAGCACAGAATGCACTAAACAATTACATAGTGTATAACTCTTATGTGCCAGAGGTCAGACTTTCCCTTTCAGCGTTTGATGCAGTAAAAACAAGACATCAGATGGCAGGTCTTCGAGATAATTTGACTTATAATTATTTACCTCAGTGATATGTGGTTTTAATATCACACCTGATGGAAAAAAATGAATGTTATTTTACTTTTTTGAAAAATACATGATTTTTGGTAGAAGAGCTTTTTATTTAAAGCTGAATTGATTATAATATCCTCTATAAAACTAGTAGGGCTTCCCTGGTGGCTCACATGGTAAAGAATCTGCCTGCAATGTTGGAGACCCAGGTTCGATTCCTGAATCAGGAAGATCCCCTAAAGGAAGTCATGGCAACCCTCTCCAGTATTCTTGCCTGGAGAATCCCATGAACAGAGGAGCCTGGCAGGGTACAGTCCATGGGGTCGCAAAGAGTCAGACACGACTGAGCGACTAGCACACACATAAAACTAGTAGGAGGGTTTGTGTTTCATTCAAACTTTTTTTTTCTTTAGTAGTAAAAAGTCAAATAGATACAGCTTAGGGGTAGGGAGTTGAGCTATAAATGAACACATCCCTCTCATGTCTTAGATTTTCCCTAATCATTCTAATTGTGTGTGTGCCAAGTGTTATTTAGTTCTCACAAGTACTATAACAGGCACTGTTACTATCCTTACTTTACACATGAGGAAACTGAGGCTAAGCAGTGAATTTTCCCAGTGCCCCACTGTGAAGTGGTAGAAATGGGATTTGGACCCAGACATGCCTGACGTCATTGTCTAAATGTCAAGCTGCCTGTCTCTGTGAAGCTTTTCCTTTATATTTAAGCTTTATCGATGCTGTTCTCTGTTATTTAAAACTCTATAGCCTGTAGTTTATGATTTATTGCATTTATTACTATCCTTAATAGTAGTGATCTTTTATTGAACAACTACTTTGTTTTTGGTATGCATATTATCCAGCATCCAACTTCACCCACAAAACTGTGAAATAGAGTTATTCCCATTTTATAAATGAGCAAAGGAAGGTTCAGTGAGGTAAAATAACCTGTCACCAGCTGAAGGGCACATTCAGGTATGACCTAAATCAAATTACACTTGTAAAGTAATGCTTAAAATTCTCCAAGCCAGGCTTCAGCAATATGTGAACTGTGAACTTCCAGATGTTCAAGCTGGTTTTAGAAAAGGCAGAGAAACCAGAGATCAAATTGCCAACATCCGCTGGATCATCAAAAAAGCAAGAGAGTTCCAGAAAAACATCTATTTCTGCTTTATTGACTATGCCAAAGCCTTTGACTATGTCGATCACAATAAACTGGAAAATTCTGAAAGAGATGGGAATACCAGACCAGCTGACCTGCCTCTTGAGAAATCTGTATGCAGGTCAAGAAGCAACAGTCAGAACTGGACATGGAACAACAGACTGGTTCCAAATAGGAAAAGGAGTACGTCAAGGCTGTATATTGTCACCCTGCTTATTTAACTTCTATGCACAGTACATCATGAGAAATGCTGGGATGGAGGAAGCACAGGCTTGAGTCAAGATTGCCAGGAGAAATAATAACAACCTCAGATGTGCAGATGATACCACCTTTATGGCAGAAAGTGAAGAACTAAAGAGCCTCTTGATGAAGGTGAAAGAGGAGAGTGAAGAAGTTGTCTTAAAGCTCAACATTCAGAAAACTAAGATCATGGCATCCAGTCCCATCACTTCATGGCAGATAGATGGGGAAACAGTGACTGACTTTATTTCTCTGGGCTCCAAAATCACTGCAGATAGTGATTGCAGCAATGAAATTAAAAGATACTTACTTCTTGGAAGGAAAGTTATGACCAACCTAGACAGCATATTAAAAAGCAGAGACATTACTTTGCCAACAAAGGTCCGTCTAGTCAAGGCTATGGTTTTTCTAGTGGTCATGTATGGATGTGAGAGTTGGACTATAAAGAAAGCTAAGCGCCAAAGAAATGGATGCTTTTGAACTGTGGTGTTGGAGAAGACTGTTGCGAGTCCCTTGAATTGCAAGAAGATCCAACCAGTCCATCCTAAAGGAAATCAGTCCTGAATATTCATTGGAACGACTGATGTTGAAGCTGAAACTCCAATACTTTGGCCACCTGATGTGAAGAGCTGATATTGGAAAAGACCCTGATGCTGGGAAAGATTGAAAGCAGGAGGAGAAGGGGATGACAGAGGATGAGATGTTTGGATGGCATCACCGACTCCATGGACATGGGTTTGGGCAGACTCTGGGAGTTGGTGATGGACAGGGAGGACTGGCATGCTGCATTCATGGGGTCGCAAAGAGTCGGACACTACTGAGAGACTGAACTGAACTGAGCTGAAAGGCATTCAGGTGGTGAACAGCACTCTCCCATCCATCCCCACGTTCCTTGGATTCCAGAGCCCAGGGCTTCTCTTAGCCACACCCAGTTAACTCTTCATTAATCTTTAGTAGCCACCTTTGTTTCATGGGCAGTGACACTTAAGACCACAGATTTTGTTTCACAGTCACTGATTCACCCTTTCAAAAAGGGCTCAGTATTTACGGAGTCTGTATTACATGCCAGCCCTGCCCATGCCCACCATCCAAGCCCTATCCAAAGCTGACCTGGTGAGCTTGCAGACCAAAGGTTTGGTTTTCTTTGGTCCGTAGTAGCCCATGCTAAGGAAAAAGAGAGGGCTAGTGTCTTCATCACCTCCTCCTTCCTGAGCCTGCTCTGGGAGTCTCCAGCTGAGGGAGGTCTTGCTCTCCCAGCCTCTGAATTCCTATCCTGTGTATTTTGAGAAGTCCAGAGGGCACTTGCTTGCTGTTGATGGCATAAGGTACACAAGTGCTGAGCATAGCACTGGGCACATATAAGGTGCCCAGGTAACATTTTAGTAAAACAGCTTTTTGGTTTTTTTTTTAATTTGTTGAAAACCAACCAAACCTTGCTAATGACTAGGCAGTAGGCATTCTCTACAACCAAATCATCCAAATAATTATCACAGGGGAAAAAATTTGACGTGTTCATTTTCCCAGCAAATTTGACACATCTTGCTACCACTAATACAATTACAGATCATCTGACATTGTTTTCCTCATGTGTTCTTTGCTTTGCATAGCTTATGTTTCTAAACGTTGTTTTAATTCATGTTTCTGTGGTAGCTTTAGGATGTATGAATGGGGATTGAGCTCTTTACTAGATCGCTTCATTTGCACTGTTTGGCATTTCTGCGGCTCTGGCCCATGAAGAAGGCTAGAGCTGCGATGATCAAAGATAATCAAATTTTGAATCCTGTTCAGCCCTAATAGCGTAACTCTTTAGTCCTTTGGTCCTCTTCCTTAGTCCTTTCTCCTCCCTGCCAGTTCTGCATGCTCATTTTTCTTGTGCTTGATAGTGAATCTGGCCCCTCTGATCACCGTTTCTTCTATCTTACACGGCAAGTATGGAGCCGTCACATCCGCAGCACTCCTGCCTCCCGGCGTTGGCATCCCGCCACACAAGGCTGGTCCTCCAGGACAGATGGTGATTCCTGCTGCCTTGCCCTTCTCTGTTGCAGCTTAAGGATCCCGGCCAGGCCAGCAGCTAACGTGATGTGCTTCCCGCCCCACAGGTGCAGAGGAGCTGAGTGCGGAAGAGGATGAGGAAGTGCTGACTCTGCTGTATGACCCATGTTTGAACTGTTACTTTGATCCCCAGACTGGGAAGTACTACGAGTTGCTATAAGGCCTGCTTCCAGGGCCAAGGATGGCCGCCGCAGGTGGAGCAGGATGGCAGCTCTGATTCTGTTAAGTTGGTGTCACAAGTGTGTCTCCGGCAGGCCTACGGGATCAGAAAGAACTAAGAGAGATGAAGTCAGTTTGTACATAATGTTCAATGTTAGGACTGCCTACATCCTTTATGTAGATGGGTGTGACTTTTTAGAACTGTGAAGAAGTTAATACAGAGACAAGACTGTACGACTTTGAATTGTTTCTTATTTGTTGGTTCTCATCCTATATATAATTCTGTTTACTTCATATACTTTTATGTAAATTAATTGAGTTATTCAAATTTTTGCAGTGTTAATGTGTAAATGATGGCTTGATACACAGAAAATGTATTCTTATTTAAAAGATGCCTTTTCTTTTATTACCTATTTGTATTAAAAATAAAATATGATGGTCAGAAGTATGCCTTTTAAACTGCTTCTTTTTATTTAACCCACTTTCTTTGCCAGAATATTCCTAGATGGTATTTACTTTTCCTTAAACTTCTAGAAAAGGAATTACTGTGAATTAATCAGACTATGATCACATTTTATTGGCACTGGCCCCACAATTTCCATTTCATTATAGTTCATCCATAGTTTGCCAAAGATCATAACATTGTTAATAACTTCAGCTTCTTAGCTCTGTGCTTTTAAAAAAAATTATCTACGAATTCTTATAACATGATCCAAATCTAGCTCTATGGATCCATATTTAGTAAGAAGCCACCCATTTGAACACTCTACATACCTTACCACTTTTGTGACTTGGACCTGGAGAAATGGAGGAGACTTCCTTTGATCTTTAAGTCTATGCCATTGTAACTCTGCTCATTCCATCACAAGGAAAAAAAATCACATGCTTCCTGAATTTGAGTAGACTAGCCTTGAATTGTGTGCCAAATATATAAATACTGAGTTCAAAGAAATACTTATTGTATTAGCTTATTAGGCATATTTTGTTATTTAATAAAAATTTTATAATAGTACCATTGGAAATGAAAAAGTATTGGTGTACAGTTGGATTTAATGGCAATACTATAATTTCATTTAATGTTGCTTGATAAAGGAAATAGAGCTCTTTTTTTTTCAGGAGTAGATTTGGGCTCCTGTTCAAAGGATTATAGATTATTTAGAACCATGTTGGTATTGGGTAAACTTTTATTAATTCACAAAGAATACCTTTGTTTTGAATCTTTCTTCAAAATCTTCATACTTACAAAATACCAAAATTAACTACAGCTTCAGAAAACATGCAGAATGATAAAAAGAGTTGGTTGTGACCTTGAAGATTGGAGCAGAACTTGGAAAGCCTTATTACTGCTTTCATGAGTATTGGGATCATCCACATAAATAGAAGAGTCAATCAAAATTCCATACTAGTTGAGACGTGAAGTTGCAAATATTGAAAACTCATGAGGTAAAAGTAATTAAGAATACAAGAGTGCCTCATAAGCCTCTAACAGAATGTTGCAAGGCCTCTGAGTGGATCCAGGCTAGGACCTAGAAAACTCTTTTGGGGTTCTTGAACTGCAAGCAACAGATACCCTTGATCCCAGAATCCAAAGACTTGTTGAACAGTCAGACTACAGGAGGCACAGTAATCAAAAAGCTCTGGGAATCCTATAGTAGGAACTAACAGTTTCTCTCGATGATGGTCACCGGGATGACAGTGCCACCTCTTTCTGCCTTGAGGCTCTGCCTTGAGTCTCTCAGCTGACTTGTCAGTTTTCCCCAGGACCACCTGGAATGCAAGCTAGGTTGTCCCCACAGAAGAGGGCCCTGTTAAGAATTGGAGAGGGACACCAAGCAGGCAAAAGCGGCAGATGTCTAAAAATTTTGTTTCTTGGTTATGAATAGAGAGCAGAGAAATGTTCAGGGCAGTGAAACTACTCTGTATGACACTATAATGATAGGTATATATCACTGTACACTTGGTCAAATCCAGAAAATGTCCAATACCAAGAGTGAGCCATAATGCTGTGGACTTTGGATTATTATATGTCATTTTAGGCTCACCCTTGGTTAAAATCAAAAGCACCATTCTGGTGAGTGATGTTGATAATGGGGGAAACTACATATGCATAGGGGTAGGGGATATATGGGAAATCACTTAACCTTCCTCTCAATTTTGTTAAAAATTTGCTCTTACAAAGATTGTCTTTTTTTAAAAATGACATTCAAAATAAATTAAAAATTGAAATGTCTCAGCGGCTCACCTCTCATCCATTTTGCCCATCTCTTCTCTGTTCTCTATCCAAAATTTTCTCAGCAATTCAGTCCACCCATGGGAACACTTAATGAACCACAGCCTATGCATCCAACCACACAGAAATATTAACTTGCAGTTTCGATTCAACTGTCCCATACTTGGGATTCCAGCTGGCCCACTTTGGTCCAGTGGCAGTCAAGAACCCTCTTCTGTGGATGGTGGAGAAAGGCAGTTAAGGAGTTTCTGATGAACCAAGCAGATGCTCCAAAAGTTATCTACCACAAGGTCATATATTTTCCACTTTTTTCACTTTGCTTAAAAAGAGTGGCTTCAATTTCTATTGACAAGGTTTCCAAGAAGAATTGAAAAATAGAAATAGATGAGCCCCCATGTTGCCAATTTTAAACCAAAATGGTACATCCAGTTTACTTGGAAATTCATTGCTTGGGCTGTATGGCTTCACTTATCATATTTTGCTGCACATGAGAATTTCTTGAGAAGTTTATAAAAATATTGATACCTAGGTTCCACCCCCAGAATGTTTTATTTGATTGGTCTTGGGTGCAACCTGGGCATCGGAAGCTTTTAAAACCTTCCCTGGCAATTTGAATGTGTAGTCAATGCTTGAGCACCACTATATTAGATCCAGTGTGATGAGAGGACAGATTTGCCTAATCACGTGTAGCAGTGAGGAAAAGTTTATATTATTAGTTTCCATTTTTAAGACGTGGACTTCTACTTTCCTCATCAAATGTGTAGTGAATGCACACACTGCAAATGGATTCTGATAAAAATAGTTTGATTCAATATGGAAATACATCTCACAATAATTTGGTATCAATTTGAGGACTAATTTAGTTTCTTGTTTCATATAATTTGGGGTGCAACTTGCAAGCATCTTTAAGTCTTCAATGTCTAAATTATTATTTAATTACAGGGCCGAAGAATTATAGAAAAATAACTGTCAGCTGATTTGTGGCATCAAATCAATGATTTAGCTTCTCTGGCAATTATAATTTTTCTCTAGTTTTATTTTCTATTAAAGGAAAAATATTGGCATATGCAAAATACATAGATACTCTTGCATAGTAATTTGCCCCATTGTATTTCTCCATGTTTTTAGATTAGCTTCATTTGAATCAGTCATTTCAACCACATCTTGATTTTTTTTTTTGAAGTGCAAACTGTTTAATACCCAAGAATAGTGTAGTGACAGATTGTCCGACCCAAACCCTTTGGCTTTAATTAAAGATATAGCTGCTGAAAGTTTCTGGGTTGTTCTTTCTTTTTTCCTTGGGTTCTTCTTTTTTAAAAAGCTGTTTAATGACAGCAAGTACAGTATTAAAACTAGGTTTATCCCAGGTTGCCTTCTGTGACTCTCCATCACCAATCAAAATGGCCAGAATAATGAGGTTTAAGCATCACCTATCCACATATGGTTGTGCTTTAGGATTTCTATTTCATACATCATTCATTTTGCATTGAAGAAAGGTTGATCATAAGGAGAATTCTTGTCAAGCAAATTCTATTTTCTCTTTTTCTCCCATTATACTAGTTGAGATAGAATCATCTAATTGGGCCTAGAAAGGATAATCAAGATCGTTTCTTTAAACTCTGATTTTATAATTGAGAAAAGTGAGGTTCAGATTGGGAAGTTAATTATCCAAAGGCAATCTGTGGAAGGGAGAATGGGATCCTCGACTTCTCACTTAAAATACAGTTCTTTCCCCACCCTGAGGGCATTAAGATGATTCACATGACAGGTAGATTTCACGGTTACTGTACAATGGCCACTAGAGGACACGAGAGTCTGTCGGGAGTTTGGGCTCTCTGTTTTCTTCTCTTTTGTTTATGCAGATTCTTCCTTCCTTCCATAGCATGGCCTTTTTACACTCCAAGGATCAGCACTTCTTAAAGTGTGTTCCAAGAAACAAATTCCATTCGATGTGAATAAATGTATTGGGAGAGCGGAAGAAGCCCATGGTCCCACAATGTTGGAAAATACTGGAGAAGCAGAAATGGGTCATTGGGCTTCATTGGAGAAGTCTCGGTGGCTGTGATAATCCAACAAGCATAGGGAATGTCCAGGGAGGAATGGGATATGGGCAAACTCCTCTGTCCTCAGAGCGCTCTTCCAGGAGAGCATCTATCTCAGCACGGCTGAGTGTCCCAAAGAACCTCCTGGGAGACAAGCTACAACAGATCAGTTCTCCTGTGCCAGCGAGCCCTGACTCCGCCGGAACTCCCAGAAATGTGTCTCTGCAAGTGGGTTGGCTGTTCGTGTGAGTGTACGTGGGTAATTTGGTAGTGAGAGTAGGGGTTTTGCTTTTTGTTTTTTCCTTTGCCCAGATATTTCACAGATCCCTGACCACATTGTAAGATCACTCTCCAGACTCACTTGGCATGTAAAACAAGGTATACTGAAGCCTGAGCTTACCTTCAGCCAGAGACTTTGGTCACCTAAGATGAAGAAATTTTTATCTCGTATTTTAAATTGTACAAAATTTTAATGGTAAGTGATACAGTTAACGTACAACAAAGGATAAATCTAAGTTACAATTCATTCATCATGGATATTGGAGCTTTACATCTTAATGAATATTTGGGTTCTGGTTTGGGTGGCTATAATGTAATTTAGAATCACATTAAGTCAAAATAATCTGACTTATAAGGATTAAATAACCAATAAACATGGGCCACAGATAACACTAATTTTTACTCCTGACATATTCTCCTGTAGTTAATCACCTGTAATCCTGTGAAGCA